CGGGGCCCTGCGGGTTGGTGAGGCCGTACGCGGCGAGCGCAGCGGCGGACGAGGGGATGACCTGGAGCACGATGAGGCCGGCCTCCTCGGCGGCGGCCTTGAGCGCCGAGATCTGCTGCTGGGGGAACCACTGGGGCACGCTGAGCACGGCACCTGCGATGGGGACGCCCGAGAGGAAGTCCTTGGCGGTGAGGAAGAGCGAGCGGAGGAAGCGCACCGAGACCTCGTGCACGGTGAGCACGGTCTGGGTGCCGTCGATCTCGACCTGGAAGGCGGGTACGCCGTTCGAGTCGATGACGGGTGCCGAGTTGCGCTTCTTCTCGGCGTCGGTGAGCTCGTAAAAGGGGCGGCCGAGGAGGTTGACAAAGTTGTCGATGACGTTGGGCGCGTTGCGGACGAGCTGCGGAGTGGCCTGGTTGGCGAGGTAGACCTGGTCGCCGTTGTAGGCGATGCGCGTGGCGAGCTGACGCTCACCGTCCTCGTTTGCAATCACATCGGCACGACCGCTACGGAACAGCGAAAGATGGACAAAGGCGTGAGATGGTCAGTAAAGAGATGCAGGGAGTGGCAGCCGAGCGACAGGCATGGGTCGAAACTTACTGCTGGTTGATGCAGGCGATGGAGGAGTACGAGTGGCCGAAGTTGATGCCGATGACGGCACCTGCTGCTTCAGTCATGATTGTATGTTTGTGGTATGGGGGTGTGGAGACGGAGGGTGGAAGTGATGGAGTCGGGATGGACGGTGCGTTCAGCTTGGGCGGCGGCGGGGGGGGCCAGCTTGGCGGCAGCGGCGCTGGCGAGCACATCAACTCCTTCTCGCCATCCCACTCCAAAATTTCGCAGGGAAACTTTCTTCTCGCTCGGCGGTTTTTTTCTGCTTCTGTTAGCTCGACAGCATTGCCGAAGTGGCGAACGGCGCTGGCTTGCTGCCACGCCTTGGGTGCAGGCCTTTAGGCACTGTCGATCACGCAGCAGCTCAGTCTATGGTTCACGACGAAAAGTTTCAAAATGTTTGATCTCGGAGTCGGGCCTCTATCGCACGAGTGGAAGGTTCGGCGAGTCGGACACTTTACGCGCCTACGCGCCACCACGCGCCTCGCCAGGGTCAATTCGAGGTGTTGGTCTCGCTTTCTGCTGTCCTCGCCACTGCTGACCCTCTCCAGCCCTCGTCTTCTCGTTCGCCTCATCCATCCCTTTCGGTGGGGACCTCAATGCCAGCTGAAATGATCGACCTGTTACCGCCACCGATGGAGCTCGTGCTCGGCACGTCCGCGACGGATGCGCTGCCACGGTGCACGCCCAACCTGATGCCGTTCCACATCGACTACGACGGCGCAGCACCTGTCGATTCGTTCCTGCTTCTGCGCGCCGCACCAAGCGACGAGCCACAGGACCTGCCCAGCTCAAGCACTACCGAATCTACCGAGCCGCTGAACAGCTACATCTCGGCGTTCCGCGGACGAGCTATCCAGTCGACGCCCCTGCCGCTTCCCCCGGGATACCGCGCGGAACTTGTGCGCATTGCCCAGGTCGAACCACCCGCGAATGCGCAGCCCAGCACAAGCACTGCAGTCCAGACCACCACCAATGAGGACGACAAGGAAAGACAACGGAAGAGGCAAAAGACTGCGCGCATGCCCGCCAAACAACAGAGGTTCTCCATGGACAGCGATGACGAGGACAACGAAGACGAGGAGCAAAGTGATCGAGATGCCTCGCTCGAACCAGAACCGGAGCTCGCACAGCAGGAGGAATCGCAGCCAACGGTGGGAAGGACAAACGAAAGGGCGGCAGCAAGAGTACGGATCGCGCCCGTGGCACGCGTGGCAGACGACGAGCTGCGCATCTGGGGTCCTGACGGTCCCGTCGACCGCGGCGACGATACACTCTTCCGCACCGTAGGCGAGTGGATGACCACCGTCGCTCCCATTGTAAGTCTCGGTCCAGCCCGTGCCGACGCGGAAGCGTGCTGCAGAGCGATTCCGCTGATTCCGCCTTACGCTTTGATCTTATTTTTCTCTTCCGCACAGCTGCACTCGTAACGCGCGATTGACACTGCCGCAACAAGCTTTGGTTGCTTTGTCCTTCCGCCGCACATGCAATGTCCACATGCATAAGAACCACACTTGCCACTGCCAGCCCGCGCCCCGCTTCAGTCACACCATCTTTCCCCGCCGATCTCTTGAGACAGAATGGGTGCAAGTGAGTTGTGCAGAGACGCACGGTTGCATCGACGTTGTTCCTGACTCGTTCTTGCTTGGATCGACCAGAGACTTTCACGGTAAGACGCTGGTACAGGATTGGATGCAACACGATTGAGGCTAATGCTGCGAGAGACAGGGCGGTAAATGTCTGCCGGGCCAGGGCAATGGACGGGCAGCGCGCGCCACCAAGCGGTACCGCGCACAGCGCTCGGCACTCGAACGCATCAGCAAGGGCTCCATCCGCCGTCTTGCGCGACGGGGAGGCGTCAAGCGTAAGTTCCACCCACCGGCCGGCATTGCAGCACTAGGCATTGCTGACACGCTCCTTGCGCTTTCCTCCGATAGGTCTTGGCGGGATGGTGTACGAGGAGACGCGGTTCATCTTGCGTGACTTCCTCACGCGCGCCGTGCGCGATGCGATCGTCTACTCCGGTAAGTCCCACCTGCCCTCCCCACCCTGCATCGTCGAGTCGAGCTGACCCGCGTTGGAACGGCAGCACACTGCAACCGCAAGACCGTGCGTACGATCGACGTGATCTACGCGCTCAAGCTGCAGGGCCGTACGCTGTACTACTTCTGAGGCGCAAGCGGCACCACGTCGCCGCTGAGCTCCCAGCTACTTCGACTGCGCAGCAGCCTCGACCAGAACTGCATCACGCCATCCCACTCCTGTCCGCGTAGCATCGCTTCGTCCGCCCCCCCGGGTGCCAATGCCAACCTATGCAACTGCAGTGCGCTCGTCGCCTTTCTGAAGGATGCCCATCGGCTCGCATCGCGCGGCACCTCGCTCGGCGAGCGGTAGATGTGCAGCACGGGTGTCGCACTCGGTTTCGTCAGCGTCGGATGCGAGATCAATTCGCCAGACACCGAGACTACACTTCCCAGTCTTGCGAGAGGCTCGTCTGCGTGCGACTTGGTCCAGTCGACAAGCGATTCCAGCGCGGTCGTGGCGCCCTGACCGAAGCCGAAGAAGTGAATGTGCGATGCCGACCACCCACACGCGCCGGTGAGATGCTCGAGCAGGCCCTTGAGGTGGTCGACGGTCGGGCGCGGGTTGGGCTTGGTGAGCATCTCGCCAAACTGATCGAACGTCGGATACCACATCCAGTGTCGGCCTGGGTCGAGGAACGGTACGCCATGCGGAGCCTGTAGCGTCAACACTGCTGTCTGCGGCAGCGTCCTTTGCAGCGACTGACCCAGCGTAAAGAACGGCGCGTCGCTATCGCCCAGCCCGTGCAGAAGAATGAGCAGGTTCGAATCGACTCCGCTGGGAGCTGGCGCGAAGTGGTATGCCGAGAAGCGCGACAGCACCGACGCTGTCACCAGCGGCTTGCGTGCCGGCTCGACCTCGGCGTTGAGCTGGTGCATGCTGGTTTAGCCGCCCGAGACGGGTGGGATGGCAGCCACCTCTTCGCCGCCGTTGAGCGTCCAGTTTGCGATCTCGTCGATCTCGATCAGCGTATTGTCGACGCTCCACCGACACCCGGCCAGCACACTCGCGGGGTGCTTCTCGTTGTGGCGCTGCGCGATGAGCTCGATGAGCGTCGAGAGCGACGTGGGCACCGAAGGCAGCGCGATGGATTCGTGCGAAAGCCCAAGCGTCGTTCGCACCGAGGCAAAGTAGATCACCCGCACCGTCGGCGACACACTGGACATGTTCAGCTGGTCGCAGGCGAAAGCAGTGGTGGAAGTCACGAAGAACGTGAGCGCGCTGCGGAGCTGTGGCTTGTGCGTCTGGCAAAATTCGCTCACACCCTCCACTCGCAGGCGTCCAGCGATAAAAAGCTCGGCCATCTCTGTTGCCTTCTATCGCAAGCACATCGGCTACCTCGACCCAAGCATGCCTTCATGGTCAAATCTCTCTCACACAAGCAACATACTGGCAAGTAATCCAGACAAATAAGATAGGGATATCATTGCTGCGCCGCTAGGCGCTCGCATACTACTGTGAAGCTGTCTAGGAGTACATGTTGTTGTTGTTGTTGCCGTTGCCACCGCCGTTGCCACGACCGGCGCCGCCGCCGGCACCGCCCATGAAGTTGCGTGCCATGTCGCGCAGCGCGGGGTCGTTCATCATGGAGCTCATGTCGGGCATGCCACCACCGGAGCCGAACCTCTCGGCCGCCTGGCGGAGCATGGGGTTGTTCATGAGCGACGCCAGGCTGTCCGGGTTCGACATGAGGTTCTGCGCCATCTGCGCGATCATCGGGTTGTTCATCATCGCCGCAAGGTCGGGCATGCCGCCAGCTCCGCCGCCAAAGTCGGGGAAGCCACCGGCGCCGGCATCTGCGCCTGCCGGTGGAGAGACGGCGTCGCGCGTCGACGAGCCAGCTGCCGAGGACGAAGGTGCGGACGACGACGATGACGAGACCTGCTCCTTGGATGCAGCAAGGCCCTTCTTGAGCACCTCGTTGGTCGGGTCCACCTCGACACCCTGCTGGTACGCCTCGACGGCCTCCTCGAAGCGGCCGGACGAGAAGAGGGCGTGGCCGAGTCGGCTGTACGCCTTGCCGAACTTGGGGTCGATCTTGCTCGCCTGCTTGGCGTCGTCGATGGCCTGGTCGTGCTGGCCGATCTGGCTGAAGGCGGCGGCGCGGTTGGAGAAGTAGACGGGCGAGTTGGGGTTGAGCTCGATCGCCTTGCCGTACGCCTCGATGGCGGCGCCGTAGTCCTTGGCGGACATGGCCTTGTTGCCGTCGGCCTTGAGCTGCTCCGCCTTGGCCAGGTCGGCTTCCGAGGGAGTGGCTGCGGCGGTCGACGTGGAAGCAGCTGGTGCTGCTGCGGACGCGGGAGCCGCACCGCCCATCTTGGCCTGCGTCTTGAGGAAGATGTCAAAGATGGCCTGGAGACCGGGACCGGAGCCGTACTGTGCCTGCTGCTGTGCCGAGGAGGTGTCGACGCCAAACGCTTCCGAGACGCTCTTGGCGGCGTGCTGCAGCTTGGCCTTGTGTTCGACGGATGCCGAGTCGGCCGACTGCTGGAGCCATTGCGCGACGGCGTATGCGAGCGGTGCCTGTTGCGACGACATGGCTTGGGATCGATCCGGTGCGTGAGTGTGAGTTGGTCTTGGCGTGTCTGCTGTGTCCGTTCTGCAAGGCGGCCGCCAAGGTCATGCAAAGGGTCTATCCGTCAGCTGTCGATTCTTCGCTACCAAAGACTTGGCGCATGCTATGCCCAGCTGGCAAGGGTCAGAAAAGCTTCGTTCTCTGCATGGTTTGACTAAGCAGTCTAACATGTATTTGTGAAAGTGAAAAGTTGGTATCATCATACGAGCGGCCGGGCCGGGATGGGTTCCCTGCATCTCCGTTCCCGCACGGGACCGGGAGAATGGCGCAAAAGGCGAGCCGGGCTGCGGATATCGTTTGTAGGAGGCTGGAGCATGTGCGGATCAAAAGCACTTACAGATCAGAGAATGCGCGCAAGGGGTAGTCAACGGAATGGATGAGGGAGGAAGAGGGGAGGTGTCTGGTGAAAGACAGGTATAAGAAGGGTCGGGTGGTTGCCTCGACTCAAAGTGGGTCAAAGTGGCAAGTGCGCGCGGCCTCAATCGCTCTGCATTCGACGCTCGCGTTTCCCGCTTGCGTTTGCACCCTGGGAGGGGCCGGATTGAGGCGGAGTCGCTTTGGAAACGTGGAGTTGCGCGCCCCGAAGCTACAGCTCTGGCAATCCAGCTGACGCGGCGCCCGTTCCTTCGCTCGTCGTCCGTAGGCTTCCAGCTGCCTCTCGAAGTCGCTGCCTCCCCCAACAAGTTTTCGCCGCGCTTCGAAATGTCACCAACTCGACCCTAACAATCGTTATTTTTCCCCGCCAGGGCGCCACAGCAACACCCTCTCAAAGCCCAAATGCTCCTCTGATTGCAGTCCATGGAGAAATTTGCAAGGCAGGTACCATTCCAAGATGTGGCGAGAACAATGAAGGCGATGAATGAATGAACGAATGTACGGAACAAAACTATAAATGAATACGAAAGAAAAGCCAGGTGTCCAGCAATGCCAGGGCTACCGAGGCTCAACTGGGAGCGACTGGGGCGGATGGGAGCGCACGACGCGCGGGTATGTTTTCGGGACAAGAGGAGTTGGTGGAGTCGGTTTTGCTTGCGATCATCTTTGCTGCTGCTGTTGGGCCTGTTGCAGATTTGTAAAGAGCAGGTCGGCTCGGTCGACCACATTATCTTCGTTGAGCTCACCCTGCAGGGCGAGGGTGCGGATGCGCGCCACCAGGCTTCGCAGCGTGCCGCGCGAGATGCTGACCGTTTCGTTGAGGTCGACCGCTTCCTCCTCCTCCATGCGGTCCTGCTCGGGCGCATACTGCCGCAGGAACGGATGCCTGAGCAGCTCGGGAATCGTCGCTCGGTCTTCGGCTTCGTACCGAAGCGCCGCCTGGACGCAGTCCAACAGGTCGTCATCCACCTCGAGTCGGTCCGTGTAGCGCGGGTCGCGGAAGCGGTTGTACGCAATCTCGTGCTCCGGGTCGACGATCATCTCCAGCTTGCGATTTGCCGGTATGCGGTCGAACGGCGGTCGGCCCCAGATCATCTGGTACAGGATGCAGCCCAGCGACCACACGTCGCTCGGCTTGCCCGCCTTGTACACGCGCCTGCCCTTGGTCCGCGCGATCTTGATCGCCTCGGGCGCCATATAGTTGGGCGTGCCAATGATAATGTCTCGCGAGATGTGCACGGTGCCCTTGGGGATCTTTTTAGAGATGCCAAAGTCGATCAGCTTGAGTCGCTCGTCGACCATCAAGAAGTTGGCCGGCTTCAGATCGGCATGCACCAGATTGGCGCCGTGGATGAAGTGCACCGCCTCGAGCATCTCGCGGAAGTAGTGCGCGATCGCCTCGCGCGGCAGCGGTGCCTGCTGCGCCAGCACCGTGCCAAAGTCGTGCTCGCCGAGCTCGATGAGGATGCGCAGCTTGTCCGGACTGCCGTTCTTGTCGACAGTGACGTGATGTCCAAAGTAGCGCAACAGATACATCTCGCTTCCCTCAAGGTCCGACAGCGTCCTCTGCAGGTTGGCCTCGGCGATCAGATCCAGCTTGTCCTGCTCGCTCTCGATCTGCTTGAGGTCGACCTGCTTGAGCGCAAAGAACGCTTGCTGCTCCTCGGGCACGGAGATCTCGTCCACCATACCCGTGTCGGCATTGCGCACCTTCTCGCACGCCGGTCCGCGCAGGATGTGCACGGTGGAGAAGCCGCCCTTGGTGAGCTGCTTTCTGCGGAACTTGAAGCCGGGCAGCTTGACGCAGCGGGTCGAACCGGCGATCTCCTTCATGAATCGCTCCTCCTGGCTGAGCGGCTTCTGCATCTGGCGCGTCGTCTCGGCCCAGATGGCCTCGTGTCGAATCTCGGAGTACAGCCGGCATGCGTCTTCTTCGGCAGGTTCGTTCTCGTCTTGCTGTCCAACAGCGGCGCTTGGTCTGGCACTCGTAGATGACAAGCCAGCTGATTTGAGCAGGTGATCGCTGACCCCATTTGGAGCACGAGGCGCGGCGCGCTGACCTTCTCGGAGATCGATGTTGGAGACTGGGACGAGCCGGCGATTCGCCAGAGGATCCGCAGGTGCAGCGATGTTGGAAGCCAGGAAGCTCTGAATTGCCTCGACCTGTCCTCGCGTCGGGTGGATCGATCCATCCTCTCTAGCCAACGCTGGCTCTGCAACCGTGCGTCTGGCGAGCGGATGCGCCTCATTCCTTCGAGGCGGCGGGGGCTGCATGTCGTAATCTTGAATTGTGCCGACCTCGTCTGGTGCTTGCTGGCGGGCAGGTCGGACAGGTTGCGATTCTGGTGCTGGCGAACGGACGAGTGAAGCTCTCTCCATCATCTCTGCGCGGAGCTTCTCCTTTTCAGCGTCGTATCCATACGGGAGGAAGCGTCGATCTGGCCGTTCTGCCGCTTCTGCTGATATAGGTGCTGCGCCAGAACCGGCTGCATAGCCCGAACCTGAGTTGGAGCTTCCGTCCTGACTGTGCCGAGAAGCACGCGGCTGTTGTGGGTCTGGACTGGCACTTTGTGCGTCGTCGGCGCCGTTGGAGCGATTTGCCTCGGCCTTTTCTTCGTCCAGGTCATCGTCCTCGTCGTCCGAATATCGCCTGACGACCCTCCTGGCGGGCGGATGACGGTTGGAAGAGCGGGTGAGCGTGCGCAAGCTCCTGGCAGCACTGCGCTGCGCCGTAGCTGGTGCAGCTGTGGCCGCTGAGCGGAGAGCACGACCGGTCATGGCAGGAGTGCGGTAGCCAGTTGCGGGCTGGACGCTCGACGAGCCGGCTCGATGAGCGGCATCGTCCGGAGTGTCGCGCTTTACCGATGCGCGCTCCTCGATAGGGGCGTACCTGACCTTCTTCTCCTCGTCCTCGTCGGCTTTCTCTGCGCTACGTCTGCGAGCGGGTAATGAAGCGTTGATGCGCAGCTCAGCGTCATGCAGGGGGGACGCGCTCTCACGATGAGAGGCAAGCGCGCCGACCTTGGCCATGCGCAATGGCGGTGAGCTTTTGGACCGGAGCTCGTCGTGCTGAAGGGCAGAAGCTGATGCAAAGGGAGAGGAGCGGCTGTAGGCGTCCTGAACGGGAGCATCGCGGAAGATGCCCGCAGCGCGGAGGCTGCCGAGCTCGTCGCGATGTGATGCTGCAGGTGGCGCTGCTCTGCGACCAGTACCGGGGGAGTCGTCGTACGGATCCGAGTGTGTATCTCTGTGCGCTTCTGAGGAGATCCTGAGCGGGCGGACACGCGAGTGAGCAGCGTTGGTTGCGATGTGAGAGGCTGCGGAAGAATACTGGGGAGGCTCTGGTTGGGACTCTGCGTCGCCGAGGAAGTGGCTGACGGGGGCCGGCGGTAGTGGACTGTCGCCTATGGTGGCGTTGGCATGGTCGCTGGGGGTGTGGTCTGGAAGGACGCCGCCAGCGTGCCGCGAGGAGCGGCGAAGCACGGGTGTCGATGGGACCAGGTCGTGGTAGCGCGACACGGCAGTCATGATGGTGGTGCTTGTCCCCGAAGGTGGGATGTTGGGCTTGGCTGCGATGGAAATCAATCGTCGGGATTTATAGAGATGGGAGCTGATGCATGTTTGCTGTCCGCTCTGTGTCGCAATGCCAGCGTCGATTCGAACGCAATGCTGTACGTGATACAGCCGAGGCGTGGATGGATGTGGTGTCGACAAAGGAGGTGGACGAAGCGGCCGCGTCTCGTGGACTAGAGGGATGGTGGAGCAGGTCGGAGGAAATCCACTTTCACCGTGGCAAAGCTGGCGAAGCGTTGGGCGGCCGACGAGGTGAGGATGTGTCAAGTTGCAAAGTGCCAAGTGTGCACAGTGGAAAGTGGAACGTCAATGTGCTGCATCCTGGCCGGGGCGCTGACCTCCATCCCATCACGCTTGGGCATAACCAAGCTCTCACATTCACGCATCGACCTGCCATGTCTGCTTCCATGCCTGCTCGACCCGATGCCGGGGCAGACTGACCATACGCCCCAATATGGCCTGCTTTTCCCAAATCTCGTTCTTCTTCGCCCGCTTCTCGGCAGCCGAGGAGGCCGCTCTCGATATCAACACACGCGCCTCACCAGTCACAACCGCGTGCCATGGCGTCACGTGATTTCATCCCACTGCCAAAATTCCGACTTTGATGCACCTAAGCTTAAGCCGATCTCACACTCCACTTTTTTGACCACCTGCCACCCCAGGCAATCATGGCATGAAGCACCGCATTCGATGAAGCAGGGCAGAGAAGCTGCAGCTCAACCCGCCTTGGAAGCCGAGAATGCGTTCCAGATCTGCTCGGCGTAGCCTAGCACCGCTTCCTCCTCATAGCGTCGACCCACAATCTGGATGCCTACTGGCGCATTGACCAGCTTCTCCGCATCCCAGAGTGCGTACCACTTTTCGTCGTCGGGGTTGAGGAAGTCGGTTCGCTTGGCGCTTCCGTCGACCTTGGGGTCTACTTTGGTCACCGGCATCACCACCACGGGATAGTCGACCACATTGAAGATGCCCGTGTAGCCGATGTAGATCTCGTTGCCCGGCGGTACCGCCGTGTATGCGAAGCCGGGCACGATGAGCACGTCGATGGGGCGGCCGTCCTTGGTGCGCTGAGCTGTGGCGTTCCAGTGGTCGAGATACGCCTTTTGAAACTCGAGCTTGCGCTTGTTGGCTTGCCACACCTCGTAGCCCGTCGCTTCGCGCTTGCCGATGCCCGAAAAGCACGGTCCGAGCGGTTCGTTGAGTGGCGCAATGGCGGCTTCGATGTCCTTGCCTCCGTCGGCACAGAAGGCGTCGCCCAGGATCTCGAGCATCTCGATCGTGCGGAACGCCTCAAAGTCGATCACGTCGTGGCCGCCAAGCGTCGAGAGCACCTGCTTGATTGCGCGCTCGTACGGCGGCGAAGGCTTGACCACTCCGTCGTGCCACATGACGCCGATGTTGAGCTTCTTCTGCGTGCGTGCGTGCTCGAATCGCTCTCCGCTCCACGGCATCGATGGCGTTTGCGGGTCCTGCAACCAAGGCTGCTGTGCGAGCACCGCCTTGGAAAACTCGATGAGGCCGGAAAGCGAACGGCTCAGCGGCCCAAGCACCGATGGGATTGTGATCTGTCCCAGCAGGGAATTCTGAACTCCTTGATAAGGCAGACGATGAGATGATGGGCGCAGGCCGAAGACTCCGCACAGGGTCGCGGGGATGCGCACCGAGCCACCCACGTCCGTGCCCACACCCAAGGGCGAACCTTTGATGGCGACCAGCGCGCCCTCGCCGCCGGACGATCCTCCCGGATGCAGCGTGCGGTTGTGCGGGTTGACCGTGGTGCCCCACAGCGTGTTCGACGTCTCGGAATACATGATCGTCTGAGGCAGGTTGGTCTTGACGAACGGCACCGCGCCCGCGCGCTTCAGCACGTCCACCAGCACCGAGTCGGACTTTGACGGCTTGTTCGCATAGCTGATGTAGCCGATCGTGGCGTCGGATCCAGCGATCTGGAACTGGTCCTTGACGCTCATAGGTAGGCCGTGCAGCGGCCCACGCACCTTGCCCGTCGATTTGAGCTCGGCATCCAGTTCGGCCGCCCACTTGCGCGCATCTTCAAAGTGAATCTCCGTGAGCGGGTTGACCAGCTGGTGTGCTACGCACGTGCGCTTGATGAAGGCCTCCAACACCTCCACCGCCGTGTAGTGTCTACTCGCCAGTCGCGCCAGCAGCACGGATACGTCGTCGGTCTCGGTGATCTCCACCTCGCGCTCCGATAGCACACCACACGTGCGCGCAAAGTCAATCACCGAGTCGGTGCCAGCCGGTGGCAACTTCTCGGCCGCCACCTTGTAGGCGTCTGGCAGCAGTGCTTCCCGCTGCGCACGCTTGGCCTCGGCCACTTGCTGCCAGGTCGTCATGATTCTAAGCCCGTCCGGTCGCGATGAAAAGAGTTGACTTTTGCGCTCTGAACGAGGTCGCGATGAAAAGAGTTGACTTTTGCGCTCTGAATGAGCCGGTCCAGACTTGCG